AGCTATGCAATCTGATTATCCCTCCAGTCTCCCACCTTCATAAATATCCAGGTAGTCCTCAGTGACCACCATTGAACCCAAAATTGGGGCAAAAATGAGTTTTGCCCCTTTTTACAACATTTTTGCCGCAGTTGTTAAGTGAATCACTGTGTCAACGCTACTAACATTAAATGTTTTTGCATTGATAACAGATGGAGATGCAACCATTTTTTTCTTTTTGCTTTTAGAGTTAGATGATGCTGGGGAAGGGGGAGGAAGGTGCATGGGAGTTTAGTTAGACATAACAATGCTGAACCTAGTGTGAGAACCAAGGTTATTGAATACGAGATGGCGGGCTGGAGAACTGGAGGGAAAGTCTGCATTTCAAACTAATTGGAGAATGTGATTTATGACTGTTAACTGGAACAGGGAATTGTGCATTGATACTATGTGCTCAAGGGAGGGGAACTCAGTTTTTGGCTTCCATTGTGTTAGTGCCGATGCTATGCTTCTCAAATAAAGATTCTTTAAGGTAAACAATGCTTCTTCAAAGAGTTTCATCTGTCAGAACCATGACACACTGCAGATGATAAATTAGGAATCCGGTTGTTAAGTGATACTGGATTCCCCACTGACTCTGCTTGTCAGAAGATCACAAAAGAGGATCACGTGACCCCCAGAAACATAGTAACCATCATAAATACGAGTCAGTTGCCAAGCAACTGATCGCTAAATGAACCGTTATAAGTCGAGGACTACCTGTACTGTATATTACAGTTTGCAACCTACGTCTAATTCTGAGAAGGTGATCATGATCAAATTGATATTAAAAATGAGCCAGTCTATCATTAACCCCTACAAGAGCTTTAACTTCAGTATGTGGGATAAAAGAAGACACACACTCCCTCTTTAAAAACAAAAACAAAAAAAACACCCAGTTGTCCCAAAAGTACTAGGATGTCCAAGGATAAAAAATAAAATAAAAATCAAACCAGACAAAAGTTAAATTAGGAAATGACAGTCAGAAGGTTTCTATCTTCCTGCTGTAGGATAAACAAAATAATTCAGCTGCAGCTGAGCCTCTTGTCAAATCTAAGAACTGAGTCAACAACCTGTTTTTGTGGCTGAGAGCTTTGATGTTGGTTTTGTTCTTTCCACAGTTTAAAAAAGGAGGACTTTTACCAAATACAATCTTAATCCCAGAATCTGGAGCCCTTTCGCTGTGGCCTGGTTAAACCAGTTAAGAAGAAAAGGATTTGATTAAGGTTTGCAATGCAACCTTAGAAATTAAATCCAGTTAAATCATCTTCCCCTTCCCCTTCCCCTTCCCCTTCCTCTTCTTCTTCTTCTTCTTCTTCTTCTTCTTCTTCTTCTTCTTCTTCTTCTTCTTCCTCCTCTTCTTTTTTCTCCTCTTCTTCTTCTTCCTCCACTACTACTACTTTTCTTCTTCCTCCTCTTCTTCTTCTTCCTCTTCCTCCACTACTACTATTACTACTACTACTACTACTACTTCTTCTTCTTCTTCTTCTTCTTCTTCTTCTTCTTCTTCTTCTTCTTCTTCTTCTTCTTCTTCTTCTTCTTCTTCTTCTTCTTCTTCTTCTTCTTCTTCTTCTTTCCCCTCCTCCTCCTCCTCCTTTTCCTTTTTTGATAATTTGGGTTGCTGGTGCTTACTGGTGGTAACTCCATAAAGTGTGGGAAGTCATAGTCCCAATTTGAAATACAATCAAAAGAATTCTACTGTTTATCTAATGGGGGCTTTGTCTGATCCCTGTAGTTCTTTTACAATACAGTTTCTCAGGCGAAGCACCTGTACATCACCAGATGCTCTAAATGTTTGGGAAGTAACATATCCCAAAAAAATACTCTGGGGTCTGACCATAAGGCAAGAAATATGCAGGTCCATCGAGAGCAGCTCCATCGTCTGCTGGAACATAGAATAATAGAGCTGGAAGGGACCTTGGAGGTCTTCTAGTCCAACCCCCTGCCTATGGCAGGAGATTTAATACCATTCCAGACTTTCTTTGGGCTTGATGGGATGGATACATGTGATCCTATCATGTCTATCCCTCCCATCGATATATCATTTCAGAGAAATCCAGAACATCAATCAGTCATAGATGACTGATTCACAAGAAAGAAGAACTATGAGCTGTATCAGTTTATTTGAATCGGGATTTGTTGAGTAAGTTACTATGGCTGTACGCTGTCCCATAAACCACAATGGCCAGATTCACACAGCATCTCAAGCCAAAACTAAGAAATTATGTTATGGTCAGCAAAATATGTGAATTCTGGTTCCATGAAAAATATGAGCCTCCCTTTGCTACAGCACAGCTATAAGGCCAATCTCTTAAGTTTCAGAAAACTGGGAAAAAAATGGGTCATTGTAGGGAATTAGATAGAAGACCACTTGGGAAATTTTGAGTTGCAGACCAGGTTGGGATAAACAAACATACAAACCACCCTGTAAGAAGACATCACAAGCCACCATCTTCTGTGGTGTACCCAGAAAGTTGCTGTATGGTCATAAACTTGTAAGTCACAATGGATCAATCTTGACTTGAAAGTAACATGACTTCATTAAATCTTTCATTTGATATTCCCACAGGGAGAAATGACAGCTGTCTTATCTATAGTTCAATGAAACAAGGCCATCTCAAACTGTAATTTATGAAGCTAGATCAGTGGTTCTCAACCTATGGTCCACAAATCCTGGGGGGGGGGGAGAGTTGCAATGTCACAGGGGGTCCACAAAGGCTTGAAGAAATGTTACGATTTAAATCTGGAATTAAGTCTTGGGGATCCATGGCCACAGAAGATATTTAAAGGGGGCCTGTGGTGAAGAAAAGGTTGAGAACCACTGAGCTAGATCATTTCAGAAAATTATCATAATTAATCACAGGTTTGCGATACTATTCACACAACACTGTAGCTAGTATTCAACTGCAATAACCCAAGCATGAAGCAAAGCTGATAATCTTCAGTGGATAGTACTGAACAAGGTATCCATCCATACAACAATAAGAAGAAAAAGTAAAACATGAGAATACAACTACCAGCCAATCTCACAAAAATACAGGAGAAACTAAGAAAGAAAGAAAAACTCTTCCAAGGTAAAAACTGAATCTGCTTTCCTGGAGCAAGCAACAGCGAGAACTGATCTTCTGTGTGCATAAAGAAAGGATATCCAACAAAGAGTTTTCTAATGCATAAGAAACAGCTCTACAGCTGCTGAAAATAAGTTCCAAATGTTATACTGGTCTTAATGGGAGCTTTATTGGCCAGGTTTCAGGTCAAAATATTTTTCTTTTCATTATAGATTTAGAGTTAAAACACTGAAATACAAAGAGGCAGGGGGAAGGTGGAAAGGAAAGGAAAGGAAAGGAAAGGAAAGGAAAGGAAAGGAAAGGAAAGGAAGGGAAGGAAGATTGGAAAGAGAAAGGAAAGGAAAGGAAAGGAAAGGAAAGGAAAGGAAAGGAAAGGAAAGGAAAGGAAGGGAAGGGAAGGGAAGGGAAGGGAAGGGAAAGGAAAGGAAGATTGGAAAGAGAAAGGAAAGGAAAGGAAAGGAAAGGAAAGGAAAGAGAAAGGATCCACTCTTGAAATAGTCTTCCAAGTTTTTAAAGTGATGTACACAGAGAGAGACAGATAGACAGACAGATATAGATATATAGAGATATATAGATATATAGATACACATACAAACACACACATACACATATACAATGGATTCTATACCCCACCCAGCAGCAACATTTCCAAGGAGTGCGTGAAGTCAAAATGAGGTGAAATGCAAAAGAAAGACAAATTATTAAAATGCAAATAAATTAAGCACATTTCCCCCCCTTAAATGTATACTTGGGAATTCAAAGGTGGTGGAGAAAGCATCCACCCCTCTACTGCAGTCGCACAGTAAAAGCCTAAGTAAAGAAACGGGGTTTTTAGGAGGGAGCCTGAAAGTTATGAAAACAGACACTTCTCAAAGATTAGGAAGACCAAGGCTGCAGAGAAACCTTGTCTCTAATGAGCCAACCCAGATAATGAGCCATGGGGATTGCATATATAAAATGGGCCTCTTGAAAACCAAGGAGTTGTCAGGATGCCTGCAGGCGGAAACCAAACCCGGCAAATAAGTGAAATAAAATAAATAAAAGGAACAGAAAACCCAGGGACCTTCCTGCTTCTTTTTCCCACCCCGAAAACAACTCAGCGAGAGCAGTGCTGATTATGCTCACCGCCCGCCGAACGCAAGAAATGGGAAGAAAGAGCGGGACAAGAAGAGAATGGAAGGACTCAAGTACAGATAGTCCTTCTAGCGATTCTCAAGGTAGCTCAGTTCCCCCAAATCCTTAGTAATTAAGATCTTGTTCGCTTTATATAAGCTGCTGTTTCCCCCACCATCACCACCAATTTTTCCAGTTGTTTTTTTTCTTCCAGGCCTTCCCATCTCTATTCCCACCCTACCCCACCCCAAATCTTTGAGTGCCAAAGATGACTAAAGCTTGGAATCCTTATTCGACCAAAAACATTACAAGGTGGACAGTGTGGCAAGTATGATATTTTTTTGCCTCTCTCCCCAATGCATGTTCACAAACGTACATCCTTGGGTTTGGGGAACAAGAAAGAAAGAAAGAAAGAAAGAAAGAAAGAAAGAAAGAAAGAAAGGAAGGAAGGAAGGAAGGAAGGAAGGAAGGAAGGAAGGAAGGAAGGAAGGAAGGAAGGAAGAAAAGGGGGGAAGGAAGGAAGGAAGGAAAGAAAGAAAGAAAGAAGGGGGAAGGAAGGAAGGAAGGAAGGAAAGAAGGAAGGAAGGAAGGAAGGAAGGAAGGAAGGAAGGAAGGAAGGAAAGAAAGAAAGGGGGAAGGAAGGAAGGAAGGAAGGAAGGAAGGAAGGAAGGAAGGAAGGAAGAAGGAAGGAAAGAAAGAAAGAAAGAAAGAAAGAAAGAAAGAAAGAAAGAAAGAAAGAAAGAAAGAAAGAAGGAAGGAACCCTGTGATTGCTTTTATATCTGTTAAAAAATAAAATTCACCTTCAAGATGAAAATGTTCGTTCTCAAGGACTTCTCTGAAAATTTCACCAACTGCCTCCTGTATGGGGAAGGGGAGAGGAGAAAAAAAAGATGCCTGTTAGTTTATTTCATATAAAAACAATATTTTTATTTGGTACTTTAATTCAGCCCAAAACCAGCACACACACCCCAATAAAAGTTCACCACTGTGAAGTATGGTTGTAGCTATTTGTATTTAACCCCGCAAGCTATCATAATGTTGACTGTTTGGGATAGGGAGGAGGAGGAGGAGGATTTGTTCCTCCTACTTTTCCCTCACAACAACCCAGAGAGGAAGATAGGTATCTGGCCCAAAGTTATCCAGAAGGTTTCTAAAGTTTATGGGAGACTCTTTCTGGTGGTTTGCAGTCATAGTTCTGAACCCTTACACCTCTGCTTTGAAAAATTAGCAGTATTGCCAGCACATTTTATATATATATATATATATATATATATATATATATATATATATATATATATATATATATATATATATATATATATATATATATATATATTGTACATTTTTATAAGACTGTGACCTTTTAAAAATGCAAACAATTCATTTATTCCCTTTAAAATAACTACTGCATTGGTGATATATATTAGTATGGAACAAGGTAGCATGGTGATTTGAAAAAAAGAGCCTCTGGAGAGGAATAAAAATGTGTATTTTTTTTTCCAATGTCTTTTTTTTAAAAAAAAAACATGCTTCCCTGGGCCCTCCAAGCATTAGTTTATGTTTATCGTTCTCCATTCTGTACTCATTAGTTATTTGTTTAACTGGGCTGATAATTATTGACAATTCAGGCTTCGCTTCTTAAATTTCGTCTCCTCGGGGTGGTTATTAAAACGAGAACTTCCAAATAGCTGTTTTGTTGATTTCTGCAAGAGCATCAATATGCTTATTAATAGCCTATTAACCGAATGTTCTTTTCCAAAACAGACCATGCTAATCTTTGTGCCTTTCAGAGCTACCTCTGGGTAACTGGAGTGCATCAGCTGTCAATTAAAATTCTGCTCTCTGTTGTGCCTGTCTGATTATGCCATGCATTATCTCAGACAGACAGGTATTTATTTAATAGAACTGTGAGTGCAGACAGACTTCTTCTTCTTCTTCTTCTTCTTCTTCTTCTTCTTCTTCTTCTTCTTCTTCTTCTTCTTCTTCTTCTTCTTCTTCTTCTTCTTCTTCTTCTTCTTCTTCTTCTTCTTCTCCTCCTCCTCCTCCTCCTTCTTCTTCCTCTTCTTCCTCCTCCTTCTTCCCTCTTCTTCCTCCACCCTCTCCCAGCTTGCTAGATGTTCAGACTGGATTGCCAGATGTTCAGACTGTTGTTGATGTTATTGTTATGATAATGATGATTCCAAGAACCAAGGAAGAAACATTCACTTCTCCAGGCAAAGGGACTTAAGCCCACCCTTACCATTGCTTTTAAAACAGCCCTAGAGAGAAAAACAGCACCCTCTTTTGCAAAGATATCCCTGGATCAGATTCCAAGGAGAAATAATTAATTCATCACATAGATTTTCCACTGAAATCAAGAGAAGGGTCATCAAGGTCCCTTTAGGAAGTTAGGGGTCAGTTCTGAAAAGATTGTAATTGCCACCTCCGTTCCTCTCTAAGGATGTTGGATTAAAATCTGCCGAAATTTTGAGATAGGAAAACAGAAATTGCCATCCAATAAATCTGGAGCAATGTTTGTCAACCCCAACAATTTTAAGAGGCCTGGACTCCAGGTCCCAGAATGCCCCACCCATCTTAAAGTTGCCAAGGTTGTTGACAGATGCTGGCCTGGACAATAATCGGAGAGGGAAAACTCCACCTAACCATAACTTGGGAAAAGAGTGCACTGCATTTAGTTTGAAGTTAGAATACACCTATTCCAAATGCATTTATTTCACTCCACACTTGCCTGCTTTAACAGTAATTGTGAGAAGTTCCTGTTCTCCATATGCCAGCAACAGGAGGGTACAGTGTCTTTCTTTAAAAAGCAACTTAAACCCGGGGGATTTTTATTTTAGGAACAATGACAACTAGAGAAGGAAGTGTCATCAATGTGAAAAAATAAGCACCACCGAACAGAGATACTGTGTGTATGTATATGTATATATGTGTATATATATCTGAGTGTGTGTGTGTATGTATATGTATATGTATATATGTGTATATATGAGTGTGTGTATGTATATGTATATATGTGTATATATATCTGAGTGTGTGTATATATATGTATATGTTATAAAACAAATGAATAACTAACGATCACCAGGAGAATAAATGAAAAACATTTAATAAAATCAACCTAGCTTTCGTCAGAAGCTTCCGACATCGTCAGGGTTAAAAGCAGTCGTTGGGACTGCTTTTAAACATTAAATGTTTTTCATTTATTCTCCTGGTGATTGTTATTTATTTATTTGTTTTATAACATGAATATACCCGGGAGTCGTATTTTTACCCATATATGTATATATATACACACACACATATATACATACACACATACAGTCATGCTTCACAGTCCACTTAAGGTAACCATTTGTTCAGGAAAGATACAGAAAACTATTTCTTGCAAATTCCCCCCCCCCCCAAATGACAATTTTTATAGCTGAAAGAGCCTCAGACAAACTGAAAGTCGTTCGCAGCTACAAGTTGGGGCAAGTGATCCTTAATGACCATTGGCCATAATTGGCATTCTCGGCCTTTATTCCACCTATCTCAAGATTGGAAGCCATGTTTTATCCTTCTAATATCACCATTGAAGCAGGTTGTGTTAGAACTAATGAGTGGCTTCACACATCCTGTTAAGCTCTCATGGGGCTGGCTTGATCTGGGCTTAGCACCAGAGAGAAATGGCTAGTGATGTAGCTGCTCTCTGGGAAAAAACCATTTTTACAACTCAGTCCTCTGGTGAAGAACAGATGGGTGAAGAACAGATGGGATATGGCGATGGGAGGAGGATCAGGGAACTTGAGAGAAGACCACAACTGTTTTAAGCCTTTCCTTGGCAGCCTTCAAGATCCCGGACCCCACCCTATGCCATCTCTGTCAATTCTGATCCAGCTTGCCTCCCAACAGGTGCTCCACCATGAGGCTGGATTTTATCTTGGTCAATTGTCACTGCAAATAAATAAACCTTTCCAGGGCAAATGAGAAATTGTGTTTACCCCATAATCAAAACACAGGTGTAGGATCTTTACTAGGAAACTAAAACTATAAATCTGTCAGCAGAAGGTGTGGGAAGAACAGATGGCTTATGTTGCTCAAAAACTGGTCCTGGATCGTCTTTCCCACCCAGAATTGCAAGTATGTCATCTTTCTTTCTTTCTTTCTTTCTTTCTTTCTTTCTTTCTTTCTTTCTTTCTTTCTTTCTTTCTTTCTTTCCTCTCTCTCTCTCTCTCTCTCTCCTTTCCTTTCCTTTCCTTTCCTTTCCTTTCCTTTCCTTTCCTTTCCTTTCCTTTCCTTTCCTTTCCTTTCCTTTCCTTTCCTTTCCTTTCCTTGATTTTAGAGACTCGAATCCTCTAGTCTCAATTCTCAATCCTTTGTATCAAGTCTCAGTTCTTTATCTATGGAGATTCTCAGTTATAGTTATCCCAAAGATGCTTTTTCACGAGGCAATTGGACTTTCTTGTTTTTTCTTTGAAGACGTTTCGCTTCTCATCCAAAAAGCTTCTTCAGCTCTGACCCCACCATCCAGTCAGAGCTGAAGAAGCTTCCTGGATGAGAAGTGAAATGTCTTCAAAGAAAAACAAGAAAGTCCAGTTGCCTCGTAAAAAAGCATTCTTTGGAATCTCAGTTCTTGTATCACCACAGGCAACTTGAAAATTCATGTCGGTCACTCTGAAAAGATGCTACCAGTCACAAATTCTAGAACAAATCAACCAAGAGGTTGATTTTGAAAGCCAGAATGGTACAAAGTGTTGGATGAACACCAGGAGACACCTGGGTTCCGATCTACCTCCAGGAATGGAAGTTCACTAGATGGCTTTGGACCAGGTCAACTTGTCTCATAAGTTGTTATGGGGGAGGGGAGATATTTAAATGGAAACTCCTTTCCCTATCAACTTTTGGGACATTTTTATCAGAGTCTTCCCGCAGGAACATTGCTACGTCAGGCAACAGCTCCACCAAAATCCAAAACACACACACTCCGAAGCGTAGCACACCCACGTTCAAATATGCTACCAGGGACCAATCTTCTCTGTGAATTTCCTTAAAAGCAACCACATCAAAGCTCCAGAATTTTGCCAACCCCAATTCCCCTATTCTCCCACTTTAAAACCAAGGCTTCCTACTAGAAAATTTAATATCTTTGCTCAGTCTCCCCACTCTATGTATTTCCCCCCCACACAGCCTTTTTTTGTCTGAAACTGTTCTCTTAAAAGCTAACAGATGTTAATGCCATGAAGAGGGGGGCGGAATCGTGCCTGCATAACTCATTAAAGCTTATATATTCCAAGAATTCTTGTAATTCAGGAATCACTGGAGGTCTGATGGGGGTGGAAGGGAGGGGAGAGAGAAAGGGGAGAGAAAAACCTAGAGAGAAAAGGCCCCAAAATATATTCTGAAAGAACATAGTTCACTCGGCATAACATATACCAGTGGTGGCCAACCTATGGCATGCGTGCCAGAGGCAGCACTCAGAGCCCTCTCTGTTGGCACGCACCACCAGCAGCAGGTGCCTTAGGCCGCCCAGAGCAGGAGCCCCGCCCAGCACAAAAGAGGTGAAGCATCTGACTAGCAAGCTCCAGTACAGGTGGTAGAGCAGAGGTCACCAACCATTGTTGATTGGTGGACTGGAAGAAAAGAGAGGGGGAAGCATTTTACATGCATGCATGTGTGCACGGGGCCGCGAGCATGCACGCGCTGCAAATGGGGCGGGGCTAGTGCCTGCGTGATACTCACTAGCCCTGCCCCATTCTTGCATGGTGCAGCACCTTGTATCTGTACCCCATGGCACGGCCGTTTTTGCGCCTTGCAGCACGGTGGCCCATTTTTGTGCCCCCGGTTTCTGCGTGCCAGAGGCGGCACTCAGAGGCGCCTCC